ACTTCTGGACTCCCCTCAGCAAAATGGGATTGCTGAGCGCCGCATTGGCTTAGTCATGGAGGTTGCGCGTACCTCCATGATCCATGCGACTGCTCCCCATTTTCTGTGGCCGTTTGCGGTCCAGTACGCTGCGCATCAGCTCAACCTCTGGCCCCGTGTCTCCTTGCCGGAGACCTCGCCCACACTGCGTTGGACGGGGAAGGTTGGCGATGCGTCGGTGTTTCGGGTCTGGGGCTCTCGTGCCTTTGTTCGCGATATGTCAGCGGACAAGCTCTCACCCCGCGCTATCCCCTTCGTCTTCCTTGGCTTTGTCCCCGACGCGCCTGGCTGGCACTTTTACCACCCCACCTCGCGCCGTGTATTCCCTTCTCATGATGTCACGTTTGACGAGTCGGTTCCCTTTTACCGTCTCTTCCCCTACCGTTCTGCTTCTCTCCCCCCCCCCGCCGCTCTTCCTTACCGCGACCGTCCACATCGCATACAGCAGCAGCCGTTGTTCGCCCGTTACTGCTAACAGGGCTTCGCCAACTTCGCGCGCACTGTTTCACCAAACATCGTACTGCTGGAGCAGCCGAGTCGGCCTACGCTTTGGGACTAGCCCGAAACTCGCGCCAGCGTAGCACTAGCTAGCTCGCACGCACTGCGTTAACGTTTGTACATTTTCGCGTATAAGTATTCGCTCATGCCTTCGCTCATATTTTGTACTCATTGAACACTCTAGTGCAATCCTCGCTACCTAGATTCATTGCACCTGTAACACTTCTACACAAGCGAGAGTTGTCTCTATATCGGATTCTGGAGCCCTTATGAGAATGTTGTGAGAGTTCACTTACAAAACACGGTTGTGTTCGATGTTGTGCAATCTGGAGGGTTTTTCTCTGGTCAATAGTTCGAGCAGCCAGAAATTTTACTTGTGAAGAACCTCTCGTGACTTGCTCACATTTTGGTCTTCACCAAGGCAAACCACCACCCCTGCTAGCTCTTGTTTGCTAACTATCGCTATGGCTCGAAAAACTAAGAGGAAGGCACCTCCGAAGGCTGCAAAGAATACTGCGAAGAAGAGGGTGAAAAATGATGCTGAGATGCCAACGTCAGAAGCCATGCTCTTTGTTTCAGATCAAGGTTTGGCTAATGAGGCCGATAAACAACTCGAAGGACCGATTCCTGAGCTGTCTCGGACAGATGTTGAGGAAGTTCCTACGCTTGAATGTCCAACGATTGGCTCGCAACCTCAGGGGCTCAACCAGACTGATGAAGATCCTAATCCACAGGTTTGACAATCCGTTCTGAACGTTTGACAATGTTTTCTTCAAGCTGTCGTTCTGAGTACGCATCACAATGCAGATCCCGTTAATCGCGGAACAAACGGGCTTGAAGGCCATTTTCCACGGGCTCGATGCTGAAACGAGACGATGCAATCCAGACGATCAGACTCTCGATACACCTACTTGTGGAACCGATCCACCTTCCGTCGGCATTGATCAAGCTAACTTATCGCTTGAAGGCAATGCCACGGAAGCCAAGGTTAATTTTGCAAACGACACCAATCAAGATATCCAGCGCGTCGACGATGTGCTTTCCGCTACTGAGACTCGAAGGGAACGTGATCAAAGCGTTTGCACTACATTTACCGAAGTGAAGAATGTAACCGACAATCAGACCGAGCCTCCTGCTGAGAAGGTATAGACCAGTATTATGGGTTATGGCTATCACACTTATACGCTCTGACGCTTTTTCGCTGCGAAATCAGATCAATACAGACGTTCCAGACGGAGGCGATGGGGTTCTCTCTGTTGTTCAGACGGGAAGAGGCGAGAGTGACCAGAGCAATCATCAAAGGATACTCGACGCAGACCTGGATGCAAGCAACAATCATATTGAGCCGTCCTCTGGCGAGGTCAAAACCGATTGTCAGAGTTTTGTCACCACAGCAACCTTCGCTGACGCTTTCCCTGTGAAACCAGAACAATGAAGACGTTCAGGACCCTGGCGATGACGTGCTTTCTGCTGTTGAGATTGGAAGGGATGAGTGCTATCAAGGCAGTGCTCTGGGTGCACATATTGACGACAATCATGCGAACATCAGTCAACTCCAGGTGTCAACTAAGGTGGGTAACAAACTCGAGGGTTTTGACCACCCCGATCATATTTGCTGAACCATTTTCCCCAAAATAGCAGACGCCACAAGAAGTCGTGCACGCCGGAAGCGCGTCAAATCCCGAACTTCGAAAAGACTCCACTTTTTGTGGCGAGAATGCAGCAGACGAGCCTGCTAGCGATCGATATTCCAAAACAACTCCGACTGAGGCTAAAGTTTGTGTTCCAAGAAACAAGGTCACTGGCGCTGAATTTCCCGGGAGTGCTCCTGATCATGAAGATGGCAAGGCCACTGTCTCTCTATCGCCTGAGAAGCCACTCTCAGAGGCTAAAACCTCTGACAGAAGTGATGAGCGCTCTATTTTTGAAGAGTTGCTCGTTGATGATCTTGAAGACTTGAAACCTGACACGGTTGTTTATAACAAGGATGACTTCGAAGACGCAGCCATGGTAAATCATACAAATACGAAATCAAAAGAAGCTGATTTCTTTATGCCAGATGGGGGTAACCAGTCTCATGCAGGAAAGGTGAGCTTTCTTGTCTGTCATTTGGTTACAAACACCTCGAACCGTTGTCAAAAAGGTCAACTTTCAGACATTGGGACTATCTTCGTCCACTGCATCCAAGAAGCAAGAGGACAAGGGTACTCAGAAATTCTGCAGAATCTTTGATCCATCACAACCCAGTGGATGTGATGGTACCACAAGTGAAACAAGTGAGCGCTAGTTTACTATGCTTTGTAATGACATTCTTGCCGTTTTGTTGCTGAATTTTCTGTACCGTTTTACAGGCAAACTTGACTCTAGTTTCTTAAGCCTCGGGAGTGAACAAGAGGCCTTTGATCGGCTTGTCAGAGCATCTCAAGACAACCATTTCGAAGCTGCCAAAGCATCTAGTTCTGTGGTGGCCCCGTTGGAAGAAGCTTCTTATAAGGGAAACGAGTAACTTGGGAGTCAAGCTGACAGAATCGATCCTAAGTATGCAGAGACTGGTGCTGTTCCTAGTGAATGCCATGAGCTTCAACCACCTCGACAGCCCTCTATCCAAGAATGCAACGTAGTGGAACATGCTGGTATGCAGAATGCCATCATCAAGTGCAAGACAGTCACTTTTTGTTATGAGTTCTCATTCCAGTGCTTGTGACAGGGTTGCTCCAAGAGGACAGTCCCGCAAAGATGTTTGGAACGTCAGTGATTTGCAATGAAACAAAGGTATGTAAGCCTGTGGCATTGCTCTGTATTCAGACCTCTCACTCGTGTGACTTTGATAAGAGACATCAGTGGGCAGTTACATGAGCAGGAAATGGGCTCACGTCCGCAAGATCATTCCCTGAACCCCATAAACGGGCAGTTTCAAGGCAAGTTTGTTTTAGCTCGGATCACCAGCATTTGTGTTTTCTTTTCTTGTTTTTCAGTAAGGTCCAACTCTCTTTTTCCGTCTCAGCAGATGTGATGGGGAATCAAGAGGGACCCTTGCTGCCAGAGGCCCCGGAAGTAACAGCTTTGGTCACTGAATTGTCTGAACTTCGACACAAAGTTGTGGAGTTGACACAACAAAACGACAGCCAATCTGATCGTCTGCTGAAGGCTGAGAACGCATATCATGAAGTTGCAACGTTGAAACAAGAGAATGCGAGACTATTGAAGACCCTGCACAAGAGTGAACGGGTGCACCAAGAGGTTTTTGCTTTGCAGCAGCAGGTCACTAACCTTTCTAACCAGCTGCGCCAGGCAGAAACAGTCTACCATGATGCTGAAGCACTGAGGAAGCAGAATGCAAGCATGTCATCCCAGTTGTTGCGCCTTGAAGGTTCACAGCGTGAAGTTGCACTTCTCAAGCAACAGATTGTGGGCCTCTCTTCTAAAGTGCAGGGTTACGAGCAAGTGCAACATGAAGCAGCATCCTTGAAGCATCATAATGCCGAATTGTCAAAGAAGCTTCTCGAGCTGGAAACTGCAAATGGTCGCCTTTCATGCGAACTGTTCGATGTCCAGGTGGGATGGGATTTTGTTATTTGTGCTTACCACAAGTGCTCTTGAACCTTTTTCAACTCCGCATTGATGGGCCTGATGTGCAGGTGGAGTGCGCTCAATGGAAGGAACAGACTCAGAGGTTGAACAATGCGGAATGGTATGGACAATTCGCCCTTTGTGACAGGTGTTAACTTTCTACAATATATTAATGTGCCTTGTTTCGTTTTCGCCCATTCAGGTCAAGGCGTCCGCCACAGTACTATCGCAGGAGCGAGTACTAAATGGGCACTACTGTACGGCATGGATTTGAGCAGCCTCTACTTTTCTTGATGCACATCAGAGAGTATCTTACAGCTTGGTGTTGTAGGGGAGTAATATCATACTGGTATGATGGATGCATCCCAGGTTTCAACTCAATGCAGAATCAATGCAAATGATTTTCTGGTAGAAATTAAGGAGGCATTACCGAGTTGCGATGTGTTACATTTTTGTTACAGATTCTTTCGAGAAGGTTGTCATTGTCAACAAACTGTGCTCATGCTTGAGCTCATACGACCAGCTCTACCTCTCCTAGTACTGGCCGGATTTTTTACGATCTCTGGCATCTGCTTGTTTTGACGTTCTGTTAGATATTTGCTACTGAGCAGCGGAGCCGAGCGTCTTTGTCCTACTTCTAACAAGAATGTCGTCGAATGTTCTCCATCTTGTACTTGTCTTTCGCCGCTCCGCGTCCGCGTGAACCCACAGCATCCACCATCTCTTCTCTCCGCCTGTCGAACAACTCTGCCTGCATGGTTCTAGGATGCATCTTTTCCGCGAACCACCTCACGCCCTTCCAACATACTCAGGAGGGCGAAATTACCCATTGGATCTTCTAATTACCCTCTCTAGATCTTTGATTTGTTTCAGTAGTCCCGACGCAGACACCCATGCCAGCCAGAGTTTCAGGCATCGCAAGGACGACCAACGTGACAGCCTCCCTTTTCGTCACAACCTTTCTTTGCTCCTCCTCCTCTTACTTGTGGTGGTCTGCTTGAGCGCGCCGGCCGCTGCCTTGTCCTGTGGGTCCACATTGGAGTGCAAGAATGGCGGTGTGTGTGTCAGGAACCGAACTGGCGACGACTTCTGTGACTGTCCAAACCCTCGTTCCGGTCTGGAACCCGAATTCTTCGTGTACGCTCTCACGTGACCCCTTCCCTCCTCTCCCATCCCATCCTCCCCCCCTCCTCCCCCCCTCCTTCCCCACTCCTCCCCCTTCCCACGCACTCGAATTCCATCCACGCATCTTCCGTCGCAAGCTCCCGTCATGTTCAGCCGGCCGTTGTCTAATCCCTAGCTCTTCTCTCATGTGCGTGGTTCTAGTCGTTGTCCTGTGACGCTACCTACATCCCCTTTCCTTTCCCCAATTCCCTCCCTTCACTCCCTCGCTTCCCCCCTCCCTCCCTCTTCCTTTCCCTTCCCCTCCCTTCCCTCCGCTCCCTTCCTCCTCTCCCCCCCACACCCCCCTCCCTCCCCTCCCCCCCCCTCCTTTTTCCCTGCTCCCTGCCACCGGCAGCGGTACGGAGTGTGAGGTCCCTGCAGTCATGTGTGCGGACACAGACACATTCTTCTGTGGCAACGGCGCGCAGTGCGTGGAGATAGTGCAGGGCGAGCAGTACTCCTGTGAGGGCTGCCCCTTGGGCTACGGAGGGCAGCACTGCGAATCCCGAGGGGTGCAGTGCGGTGACTCTGGGTTGCTGTGCTTCAACGGAGGGTCGTGTGGTCACAGTGGGACCAGCTGCGTGTGCCCGAGACAGTGGTCTGGGAACGCCAATTGCACACTCTCGCTCTTTGACGGTGCGTTTTGAGGGGTGTGATCCACAGGGAAGGGCGGAGGGCGGGGAAAGGGGGGGAGAAAGGGGGGGGGAGTGGTCACAATGGGACCAGCTGCGTGTGCCCCAGACAGTGGTCTGGGAATGCTAACCGCACGCTTTTGCTCTTTGATGGTGCGCGTGAGGGGAACCAGAGCTGGTGTGATTCACAGGGAAGGGCGGAGAGGGAGGGATGGGAGGAGAAAACGGGGGATAAGGGGGCAAGCTGCGTGTGCCCCATCTATACCATCACATCACATCACATCACATCACATCACATCACATCACATCACATCACATCCCATCCCATCCCATCCCATCCCATCCCATCCCATCCCATCCCATCCCATCCCATCCCATCCCATCCCATCCCATCCCATCCCATCCCATCCCTTCCCATCCCATCCCATCCCAACCATCACATCCCATCCCATCCCATCCCATCCCATCCCATCCCATCCCATCCCATCCCATCCCATCCCATCCCATCCCATCCCACCTTCTCTTTCACCACCCCGACACCGATCCTTGCCCTTTCCCCCTCCCCCTCCTCCCGTCTTCATTTCATATCCGGCGTGCTTCCTTCCCATGAACCCTCCAGCTTATCACCAGCAGGCATCACCGTATGGCTCCCAGGCAGAGGAGGAAGACCAATCGGTGAGCACCTTGACCCCCCTCCCCCTGCTCTTCCTGGCCCCGTCCCTCCTGTCCCTCTCCCTCCTGCTCTTCTCCCTCCCGCCTCTTCTCCGTGTGCATATCTCATTGCCCTCTCATGTCTCTGTTGTATACCAACTCCTTGCCCTTACCACTTTTCCGCTCGCTCTTCTTCAATCCCCTCCATTTCTCCCTCACCCCAGTGGTACGTGCCTGTGCTGGGCGCCTTTGGTGTGCCAGTGGTGCTGTCCTTTCCCTCCTCGCCCTCCATCCATCAATTTTACTTCAATCCCCTCCATTTCTTCCTCCGTCACCCCAGTGGTACGTGCCTGTGCTGGGAGCCTTTGGCGCGCTGGTGATGCTGTCCATCCTGGGCGTGTGGATCTACATCTGCTACGCTCACCAGGCCATGTCCTCCTTCTCCCACATTGCCGACCAGGTAGGGCGTGGGGGAGGCAGGCGGAGGGGGGGTTAGTGGGGAAAGGGATGGGGGAAGCATTGGGGGCGGCATGGGGGGCGGCATGGTAACAGTAACAACAATTAACTGTTGTTGTGGAGGAGAGTGCGATTGATAATACTTTCTGATTTTGGTCTCTCTCCTCCCCACCTTCCTTCCCCTCCTCACCACTTCCTCTCCCCCCATCCTTCCCATCTCCCCCATCCCGCTCCCCCGTTTCTCTCTGAATTTTCCCTGAACCTGTCTAAACTACAGGAGGAAAGTCGGGCACTACAGGATGATGTGGAGGAGAGGGAATTGGTCGAGCTAGATTCGCATGGGGAGGAGGACGAGGGCAGGTACAGTGATGAGGAGGATCGGGAGGCAGGGGGGGGGAGGAGGAGAGGGCGGCGAAGAAAACAGCACAGGCATTCTCGGTGCCGTGATTATAACGAGGAGAGCAGCAGTCGTAGTAGCAACGAGAACGATGATTACGATGACGATGACGGCGGTGGTTATAATGACGATGTTGGGGATGGGGATGATGTGCCGAACGATCATGGTCATGGGGGGTTTCGTAAGTACCATGATCATCGTGGGGACAGTTATTATGATAATGGGGGTGGGAGCAAGGGTCGCCATGATGAGGATGGGGGTAATTCGATGGAGGAGAGTGAGGAGGAGGACATTGAAGAGGGGGAGAGGGTCCCTCTTCGGTGAGGTGAGCGATGCTTCATTGTGACGTGACGTGACGCATTGTGATACACATTTGATACGGTATGATATGTATTCATATACCGTAATACCCCGGATAGTAGCGCATATGCGCTTATAATAATAAAAAAAAAAAATTGGGGGGGCGCTTGTAATTGAGTAACGGCCATAAGCGCCGGCGCTTTTATAAAGGCAAAAATGAATTTCTCTGTAAAGGATATCATTCTGAAGCCGTGAATAAGGCGAGTACAACACTGTACCATGCACGCGGGGTCGTGCATGGAATGACGTCGAAACTTGCCGCGGTTCGATTTCCCACCGCACAAAACCCGTCCCGGTGCAACGCACCTGCCAGTGCTGATGCAAAACCTGCCGTGCGGCCCAATCAGGTTGGCATGCGCTGCCAGGCAGGAGCATCTCGGCAGAACCATCCAGAACGTGATGGAATCTGCCGTGCCAGCGCAGCATGGATGGTGCCCCCAACCCTCCTCTGCGGGTTGGGGCAGGGGTGTACTCGTCTCTCATCGACGAGGACTCCGAGCCGCAAACCAGAAGGGGTCCCCTTCAATCTCCCATTTCAACACCCAGGGTTGCAGTTTTTGATTCAGTCTTCTTTTTCTCGCCCGCCTGGCTGCGGAAGCCATGGCGGAATTCACAGGCACTCATTTTCTCTTCAAGAAAAAACCTTCTAGTAGGCCCGCGTACCGTGTTACAGCTGACGGGTGGTATAGCCGCATACCTCCAGATCCTCCATAGCCACCATAGCCTCCTGCGCCGCCTGCTCCTCCGGCTCCTCCAGTGCCTCCGACTCCCCCTGCTCCTCCTGCTCCTCCTGTTCCTCCGTGTCCGGTGGCCCCTCACATCGACAACCACCGCGTGCTCACGCTCCTGCTCCCATCGGCGTTCGACGAGTATCTGTCAGAACCGGATTATGACAAGGGCCCCGATGTTGACGTACCCGCTCCAGCGCCAGCACCACGTTGGGGCCAGCCAGAAGATTTCACGTGGGATGAATCTGCAGTCGGCGCTGACGACGACGTGCAAGACGCCGAGGAAGGTTGGCGCGCTGAGGGCGACGCCGGCGCCGAGGGTGGCACTGAGGCCGACACCGAGGCCGCTACTGAGGCCGGCACTGCTGAGGATGTGTTTCCCGAGGGTGCGCCGGGCGGTGACGACGACGACGGTGTCGAATACTGGTCACGCGATGGCCTCCCCGAGAAACTCCCGATACCAACTTATCCTCCACGTAATCGAAAGCGACCTCACCCTTCTTCACAGAACCGTGATTCTCGCCCCCCCTCTCCCAGGCACAAGCCCAACGACCACAAGCGTCAGGCCTATACTGCCGCCGAGAAGTTGAAGTGGGTCGCGCAGCTGGATGTGGCCGTGTCGGTGCGCGCTCTGGCTCGCGAGAGTGGCATCCACCGCAAGTGCCTCGTCAATTAGAAGCGTGCCGCTGATTTCCTCAAGGAAGCCCACTCTGCCAGGTGCCGCATGCACGGTCGCGGCAGGGCGTCGTGGTACCGCCCGATGGAGATTAAGGTGTATGAGCGACTGCTCAACTGGCGACGCAAGGGAACCGCGGTGTCCGTCGGCCGCCTGCAGGAGTGGTCCCGGGAGTTCATGAAGATTCTCTACCCCCTCGTGAAGTGGAAAGGGAGCCAACGGTGGTCGGACCGGTTCCGTCGGTGGTGGAATCTCAGCGTGCGAATGAAGACGAAGGTCGCCCAGAAAACCGCCGCCCGTAAGAATCATTCTTATTCTCTATGCCATGTGTATGCACTTGTTACTCACTAACCGTAACTGTGCTCAACCGCAGATGTCGCGGAGCAATGCAAGAACTTCAGGCAATTCGTCCGTGACAAGCGTCGGGAGCGCGGTATCGAGACGACGTGGATTATCAACGCCGACCAGACGCCTCTGTGGCTGGAGATGCCCGCCACCACTACCGTCGATCAAACCGGTGTTCGGTCGGTGCCCATCAGGAGCGCAGGGTACCAGAAGGAGAGCGTGACCGTGATGTTGGCGTGCACGGCGGACGGGATGAAGCTGAGGCCGTGGGTTTTTTTCAAGCGGAAGACCGTGCCGAAAGGGGTGTTCCCGCCGGGTGAGTCATGATTCTCGTTTGTTTGCTTTACACCGGTCCTGTTTTTAACGAGACTTACAGAAGCTTGTTTGTTATGCAGATGTGGTCGTGTCGTGTCACGAGAACGGCTGGATGGACGCCAACGGCGTCATACAATGGCTTGAGGAGTGCGTCAAGCCATTTCTAAAGCCTGGGTTCGGGAGGCATGCGCGGAGCTCGATGGTCGTACTTGACTCGTACAGTGGTCACCTAACTGAGGCCGTTAAGGAGAAGTTTCGCGAGCTCAATTGCGTGCCGGCGATCATCCCGTCTGGCTGCACGGCGGAGGTACAGCCCCTCGACGTCTCCATCAACAAGAGATTTAAGGCGAGCGTTCGCCAGCAGTATCAGAAGTGGTTTCAGGAAGAAGGCCAAGAACAGCTAACCAGAGCAGGTACGGTAGCCACGCGAGTCCCTATCTTACCGTAGAAGATTTTCCCCCCTTTTGTTGCGCTAACTACCGGTATATATTGTGTGATTCTGTTGGTACAGGGAACTTGAAGAAGCCACCCCCAGAGGTGGTCGTGAGGTGGATCTCACGGGCTTGGAAAGCAGTGCCCGCCGACCTCATCAAGTGCGCCTTCCTCACATGTGGCATCAGCAACGCGCTTGACGGCAGTGAGGACGGCCTCGCCATGGCGCACAGGCGGAGCCAGCTGACCGCGGAGGTGGACGTCGATGACGCCATCATCGCCGATGGCTTCTTTGGCAACAACTGCCAGGAGCCCGAATCCGACGAGGATGAGTAGATTTTCTAGGTAGAAATGCTTAACTTTGCAATCTGTAGCTAGATAAAACTGTCAGTGATGATGTTGTAGGTGAAAAGTTATCATGCTCATGTTTAGTGTTAATTGTTGATGTTTTTTTTGTAATGAGTTCTCCACAACGTGAAAAGGTGCGCTTATAATAAGTACACCCACGAGAGGGGGGGCGCTTATAATCGAGTTCCGGCCATAAGCGCCATGCTCCAGATAGAAGCGCCGGCGCCCTTAATCGGACGGCGCCTATATCCGGGGCCATACGGTAATATGTTGCAATTCGATGTGATGTGAAGCACTTTGATATTTGCTGATTCATGACGCTCTTACGGTACAATGCTGCACTAGGATGTGACCTGTCAGTACATTACAATGTGGATGGAGGCATTATGTTGTGCACAATGGTTGCAAACTCAGATGCAATTCAGTACACTGTATTGCAACAAAAGTCTGAAGACATTTTGCAGAGCTGATACCGATAAGAGTTTTTTATTGCAATGGATTTGAGGCACACATCTGCATGTAGTATGTATGTACAGATTCGCATGTGCAATATAGCATCTGCATCAATACTACCGCGCACCAGCCTTGCCCTCTTCTTCTGGGACTCAAGTCGTGAGGCACACACATAACAAAGCACCATTTCCCAAAACGGTGAACCACGGTGGAACATTCATCACGGTAAGTGACTTAACACAGTGAGAGCAGCAACGGCAACAGCAGAGGGCAGCAGCTGCAACAGAGGCCACACAATAGCCCCTCAGTGAGACCCCTTGAACACTGCAGGCTCACTCTGGTAAAAAAAAGGAATGCCTTGACGAGCTGGCTGCAGTGGAACAGTACAGTCTCTCCAGGCCTCGGGCGGGCACGTTACCAGCCCGTTGCTGCACTGCACTGCACCTTTTGAGACCCCTTGAGCCTCAAAAGATGAAGGCTTTCACAAGCTGGCTGTAGTGGTACGTCTCTCCTGACCTTGGGCATGTCACCAGCCCGTTGCTGCGCCGTGCCATTTCCTCCATGGCCTGTTGGGGATGGTGATGACATGGTGAGGTCAGGTGGGCATGGCATGGCATGTGATGGCATCGCAGGGCATGGCATGGCACGGCACGGCATGGCATGAAATATGACAAGACACCACATGGTATAGATTATGGTGTGGTGTGGCGTGGTATGGTACGGTATGGTATGGTATGGTATGGTATGGTATGGTATGGTATGGTATGGTATGGTATGGTATGGTATGGTATGGTATGGTATGGCATGGTATGGGATGGTATGGTATGGTATGGTATGGTATGGTATGGTATGGTATGGTATGGTATGGTATGGTATGGTATGGTATGGTATGGTATGGTATGGTATGGTATGGTATGGTATGGTATGGTATGGCATGGTATGGTATTCCTCCCATCTTTCTCTCTCATCACCACCACCACCAACATTGTTTCCTCCCTCACCTGTTCGCTACCCTACACACAGCCATAGGCCATAGGCCATAGGGCAGCACACGCTGTGGTTGTGGTAAGAATCCATACATCACCAGTATCCATTCTCACATTCAGTGTACCCCAAACAGAGAAACACCTCACCTGTTTGCTGTACACGTAGCCATTAGGCAGCACGAGAGGTGGGTTGCAATAATCCCCTCTCACCTTCCTTCTATCCGTCTCAGAGAAACACCTCATCTGCTAGCTGTACACATAGCCACTGAGAAGCACCAGGGCCGGGTTGTGGTAGTCCAAAACCTGGTGGGAGATGGACAGCTCTGTGTCCTATTTTTGAGAATTCTCAAAAGCCAGATGGACAGCTCTGTGTCCTATTTCCAACCTCCTCCTGCCTCCCTTGCTTACCCGCCAATACAAACCTCACCTGCTTGCTGTACACGTATCCATTGGGCAGCACAAGCGGCGGGTTGTGATAGTCCATGACTCGGTGGGAGATGCGGCAGACGAGCTGGGAGTGGTTGCGCTTGGAGAGGGGCAGCGGCAGCGCAAGGTGGCGGAAGGAGGCGTGCGAGAGAGGGTCCGCCTTGGGACACCCGGGCTCATAACTCAGCCTGGTTGGGGGGGAGGGGGTGTGTGGGGGGGGCACCGGGTGGGAAAGAAGAGAAACAGAGGGACAGCGGAGAGATGAGGGTGAGGGACCCTCGTGGGAGGAACGGGGGAGCAAGGTCCCTCGTGTGAGAGAGGGTCCGCCTCGGGACACCCGGGCTCGTAACTCAGCCTGGGTGGGGGGGGGGGAGAGAGAGGGGCAGGCAGGGATGAAGGGGAATGAAAGCACAGGAGGGATGAGGCATCTTCGGGGAGGCAAGGTCCTGTATAACAAGGAGGGAAAAGGAGCCAGGAGGGGTAAGGCATGGGACAGAAGGGAGGCAGCAGGCCGAGATGGCGAAAGGAGGCGTGCGAGAGAGGGTCCGTCTTGGGACACCCGGGCTCATAACTCAGCCTGGTTGGGGGGGAGGGGGTGTGTGGGGGGGGCACCGGGTGGGAAAGAAGAGAAACAGAGGGACAGCAGAGAGATGAGGGTGAGGGACCCTCGTGGGAGGAACGGGGGAGCAAGGTCCCTCGTGTGAGAGAGGGTCCGCCTTGGGATCCCCGGGCTCGTAACTCAGCCTGGGTGGGGGGGTGGAGAGATGAAGGGGCAGGCAGGGATGAAGGGGAATGAAAGCACAGGAGGGATGAGGCATCTTCGGGGAGGCAAGGTCCTGTATAACAAGGAGGGAAAAGGAGCCAGGAGGGGTAAGGCATGGGACAGAAGGGAGGCAGCAGGGCGAGATGGCGAAAGGAGGCGTGCGAGAGAGGGTCTGCCTTGGGACACCCGGGCTCGTAACTAAGCCTGGGTGGGGGAGGGGGGGGCGTGGAAGGGAGGAGGAAAGGGAACCAGAGGGAGAACGGAACTGGAGTGATGATGAGGGATGTTCCAGAGGAGAAGGGTTTCGGGGTAAAAAATAACGTTCCAAACCAAGAGAGAGTGACTCACGAGATTTTGAGCACTGAGAGCCCAGCTTGCTTGTAGATGTGCAGTAGAGGGGGGCGGGGGCGATAGAGGGATGTGGCAGATGATAGAGGTCTTTTGAGGCGCCTCAAAAGTCGCCTCAAAAGTCGCCTCAAAAGTCGCCTCAAAATTCGCCTCAAAAGGCGCCTCAAAAGTCGCCTCAAAAGTCGCCTCAAAAGGCGCCTCAAAAGTCACCTCAAAAGGCGCCTCAAAGGGCGATAGAGGGATGTGGCAGATGATAGAGGTGCTGCAGGGTGGGTATTGCCAAGGATGGTTTCTTTTGGGGTTCCAAGCCAAGAGAGAGTTACTCACGGGGTTTTGAGCACTGAGAGCCCAGCTTGCATGTAGATGTGCAGCAGAGGGGGGTGCGGCAGGCCATGCAGGTCACACGCAGTGCGATGGAACAGTTGCTGTAGTGCGTCCCACTGTGAGTGGGCGAAGAGGGCCTGCCAAGGGACGGAAGAGGCAGGGAGACGTGAGGGATGAGTGTGTGAGAGAGCAGCAGCTGCTGCTGTTGGGACTTCAAACCCGAGTAGGGCGGTGGAACAGGTGCTGTGGCGAGTCCCACTGTGAGTGGGCAAAGAGGGCCTTGCAAGGGAACGGAGTAGACGGGAAGGAGAGGAGTGGATAGGAGAGGAGAAGGAAAAGTGCAACAAGCTACCTTTTACTTGCAGCATTGATTGGAAGAAGGGAGTAACTTCTGAGCCGACAGAACAAATGACTTCAAAAGCATTGATTGGAAGGTCCTTTTCCTACCTTGTACTTGGGGCACTGGGTGGAGGAGCGGAGTGCGAGGGTGGCAAGAATCTGCTGCAGCTGTGGCAGGTGCGACGCAGCAAAGGGGGCGAGGTGAGCGCGCGCATACCCCACTGCCTCCTTCAACTGCCCCTGCCGCACCCTCTCTATAAACTCTTGCCCTCGCAGCCGAAACTCTAGGTCGCTCTGAGTGTGGGAGAGAGGGGAGGAGGGAGGGAGGGGGGAGGGAGAAGGTGTGGAAGGGAGTTGAAAGTGCAGCCGTAGCAGATGGAAGTAAGCAACGTGCAGTGTGCAGGGATGCAACGTGCAGGGAGCACCAGTGCTAGGCATGACCGCTCGTGAGATGCATGCCTCAGTAGAGCAGGCTCAGACCTCAGTAGTGCTTGCTTACCTTACCTTACCTTACCTTACCTTACCTTACCTTACCTTACCTTACGGAGCCTCAACCTGACAAGGCGCACCTTAAGGCGCTTTAAGCGGGAGCGGTGCTGGGAGCACCAGTGCAGGGCGGGCGCACAGTCCTGCTGGTGCAGAGCAGAGGAGATAGCAAGCATGCTCTCGTACACGCCACTGTCCACCCACTCCTGGTGTTGGTTCACAGGGGAGGGGCAGGGCAGAGAGTGGAAACCCTAAGTGCTGGTGGTGCAGAGCAGAGGAGATAGCGAGCATGCTTTTCATACACGCCACTGTCCACCCACTCCTGGTGTTGGGATGCAGGGATAGGGCAGGTAATGGAGTGGAGAAAGGGGGCAGTGGAGAAAGAGGTGGTGGGGGAACAAAGGAGAGACAAAACGGGATTTAAATGTCTGCAAACCCAATGGCGGACCAGGCTGCAAGGGAAGGAGGGTTGGAACGAGGAGGGACGAGGAATCCGGCGGGAGAGGAAGACGGGGATGGGATTGCAAGTTCACCCAGCTCGAATCCATACAACCATTTCCTTTCCTGGGTGAAATGGGTGTAGCTAGTGTAGCTAGTGTAGCTACTAGCTACAACCATTTCCTTTCCTTCCCAGCAAGTAGCTACTCAGCTCACATCAAGAACAACACATTGACTGGCTTTTTTAATTCGAATTTTGAGGCACCTCCAACACAAACGAGGGAGGAGGGGTATGGTGAAAGGAATGGTGGAGGGGAATGGCGGAGGGGAATGGCGGAGGGGAATGGCGGAGGGGAATGGCGGAGAGGAATGGCGGAGGGGAATGGCGGAGGGGAATGGCGGAGGGGAATGGCGGAGGGGAATGGCGGAGGGGAATGGCGGAGGGGAATGGCGGAGGGGAATGACGGAGGGGAATGGCGGAGGGGAATGGCGGAGGGGAATGGCGGAGGGGAGAAGATCTCCTCTGGGTCGAGTCAAAACAGGACTTCAGGCAGACTCAAAGAACGGTTTTTGAGTCGACTCAAAGGATGACTTCTTAATTAACTTACAAAGTGGTTGCTCGGCTCACCTGCAGTTGTAGCTCAAGGGCCACCTTCCCGGTCCCAGCAGATAACTTCTCCAGGTGCTGTTCCCTCAGCAGATAACTTCTGAGTCAACTCAGAAACCGTGTCATCACAAGTTAGCTCAGGAAGTGGTTTCTCAGCTGAGCTCACCTGCAATTGTAGTTCTAGGGCCATCTTCCCAGCAGTCTCCAAGTGCCCTTCCCTCAGCAGATAATCCACCAGCACTCGCTGCAGCCTCTGCTGCTTCCACTCCTGCACCAACCGCTCCCTCACACCCCCCGACCCCTCCCCCTCCCGCTCCCCCTCCCCGTCCCCTTCCCCATTCCCCGCACCTCCCTCGCTCCTCCCTGCTGCACCTTCTCCGTCTGCTGCTCCTGCTCCCCCCGTTCCTGCTGCTGCCAAAGCAGCAGCTCCAGTTCCTTCCATAGGCCAAGACGCAACACCAGCAACACCAGCAGCACCAGCAGCACCAACTGCACCTGCTGCGGCAGCAGCAGTAGCAGTGGCAGTGGCAGCAGTGGTGGTGGCACCACTTTTCCCATCCCTCGCTCCTGCTCCTGCCCCTGATCCTGATGCAACGAGTGCTGATGTGGCTTGAAGGCGAGTACGCAGGTGGCTCATGTGCTGCTGCTGCTGGGCAAATGAGACGTTGATCTGGGGGGGGAAGCGGAGGAAGGAGGGAGAGGTAAAAGGAGGCAGAGGGAGGTAGGGAGGCAGAGGGGGGAGGTAGGGAGGCAGAGGGAGGTAGGGAGGCAGAGGAAGGTAGGGAGGCAGAGGGGGGAGGTAGGGAGGCAGAGGGAGGTAGGGAGGCAGAGGGAGGTAGGGAGGCAGAGGGAGGTAGGGAGGCAGAGGGAGGTAGGGAGGCAGAGGAGCAGAGAAATGAGAGGAACAAAAGGAAAATCTGTGCGTGAATCACGACCTTGATCCGGCTGTCTGGCAGGTAATGGAGGTCAGAAGAGCACATGGAGTCAAGAAAGTGAGAGGAAAGACGGAAGGGTGATGGCGAGGCGAGCCAGCGGGCGGCTGCGTATGTGGTTCTCTCCGCACAACGCAGCTGAAATTTCTTAACGTTGCAGAGAAATTTGATAGATTTGATAAATTTGATAAAATTGAGCTGTGGAGCTGCTGCAGCTGCTGGGCGGATGAGAGGCTAAATCAGCAAGTACAGGTATGAAGAGGCCGGGGGAATTTGACAGAAAGTTGAATAACGACGAAGAAAAGGAGAGGTGGGGAGGAGGAAGAGGAGGAGGAGGTGGAGGAGGAGGAGGAGGAGGAGGAGGAGGAGGAGGAGGAGGAGGAGGAGGAGGAGGAGGACGAGGAGGAGGAGGAGGAGGAGGAGGAGGAGGAGGAGGAGGAGGAGGAGGAGGAGGAGGAGGAGGAGGAGGAGGAGGAAGAGGAGGAGGAGACGACGCAGGAAAGAATACAAAGAAAAGGAAGAAAATAAGCTTACCTTGCTCTTCAATTCCTGTACACGATTCAGAAGCGCCCCAAGGACTTCCGCAGCCTTCGCTACAGTCACATCCCCTTGTTGACCTCCGTGTGCTAATACCAACTCCGCCTGATTCACTGATCCATGTGCGTCCAATTCGCGCGCAGCAGCCACCAGCGCTGCGACCTCGCGCTCCGACTCCTTCGCGCCGTGCCGCACGGACGCTTTAATCTCCTCCAGCGGCACGCGGAACAGCTGCTGCTCGAGCTTTAACACGTCCGCGACTGGATCGTGGTGCCGAACAGCGGAACCCCCGCCGCCGCCGCCGCCGCCACCGGTTCCGCCGGTGGTGGCGCCGGCGGTGCGGGTGCGAGCAGACGAAGCGCCGCCCGCGGCGCCGTTTGTAGCCATCATGTGATCTTCGTCCATGAGTTTGGGATAGGCCTGGGGGATAGCGTGAAAGTAAGGAGGTGGTTTGACGGTCAACGAGAAAGTATGGCGAATACTTGAAGCATAAGGGGCTAATGAGGGGCTAGATGCCAGTGAGGATCAAAGTTGCTATGGTTTGGTTAACTGTCTTTCCGTGTTATGTGTGTAATGTTAGTGCTGCAATTTCAGCCCATCCACCAATTTAGCTTAAAAACTAGTACAATATAGTTTCACAGGGTATACCAAGTTGGTGGTCCTCCTAACCCATTAAAATAGTTATCCCTATTCTTACATCCATGGCTACTGCACATCCGAAATTGTGGGGGTTCCATTCGTCTCCCTTGCATAATAAACAGCATAAATTTGATATAAGTAAACATTATCATACAATCATTCTAGGGTAAATAAGGGTGGTGAGGCTTAATCACTTCTTCTTGTTAAAGCCCGCGGCCCAAGTTGCGGACCGCGCGGGTCAAGATTACTAATCTTGGCCGTTGACAATCAGAAACTTGGCCGTGGCAACTTGGGACTTCGGCAACCAAATCCGAAGTCCCCCCCTGTGTTGCGAAGGGCTGGGCGAACTCCGTAACAACCCTCGCCCACAAAACCCCCATCAATATTTGTGCAACTTTCTCCACAGCCCAGCGGTCAACTTTACTAAGGTTGAACAACTTGGGCTGCGGGCTTTAAAGGTTTGAAATGTCCTTCCATGAAGGGTATTGAGCGGTGTGGATGTACCTCTTTATGCTGAACGCGAGTCACTGTCTGAAAGCAAACCCCGACGCCACGTCTTCGCATCGACCAAGCTTTGAGCTTCTCACAGCCGTCCATTTTTGCCAGAAAATCTTCGCGTGGACGACTCTGCAGAACCGGGTTACTGTCGTGAATTTTATCGCACCCCCGACGCTGATTGCACAGTGCTAATCGCACGCTTTGTTCCGTGGTTGCAGCAGTCAAAACCAGCGTGCACATCAAGGCCCTCGCATATCACAGAATGTCGCCGAGCCCTCGCATTCTGGACTGAACCCCCTTTCTGCCCCAAGTCTTCCTAGATACTGTACCCCGACCAAAGCCTTCCAAGGCAGTTTTTCCAGGAGATTCTTCTCGTGGGCCCACGAGAGGCAATTCCGCAGGATCCCCATTCCGCTCCCCCTTCTCTCCCTCCCATCTCGTCCTAGCCCTCCCCCTCCCTCCCTCCCTCTCCCGCTATCTCCCTACTGTATCACACACAACCTACCTTGCAACCGCCTCCACTCATAGCTACACTCCCCCCCGTCCTTGAAACCAAGCTGAGTTGTTGGCTTAGTGCTGGTTGTGCGCCATTACACTTGGTCTTACGCCCCGCTTATTTCCTCTGCTCGCGGTACTGTTGTGATCCGGCCAGCTTGCCGTGGTCTTGGGGTACTTCTAAGTGTTTGCGAGCTGTGGTGATAGACGAGGGAAGCGCGATTGCAACAATTGCGCTTGAACGGGAATTGCTGGCGTTTTTAATTGCTCCTCGTGGTCTGAAGAGCTTCATGGAGAGACCAGAAGCAGATGGTCGACCAGAAAAGCGCCTAAAGTTAGGCGATCCATACCATGACGATGTAAGCGTCTTGTGCGTTCGTAAAAATACTTGTGTCATGGCCTTGTATGGCACTACTGAAGCGGTCATTCTTTTAACGCATCTGTTTTCAGATACATGCTGGACCGAGTTCCCGAGATGGTGTCTACTACGCTGCGACCATGCCTTCATTCGTTTCAAGGTTGCTTCCACCGGCGTCTCTTCATTTAGCACCTCTAGTGCCCACTACGTCCGCCGCGCTTCCGCTTCCTCCTCCTACAGCTTCCGGAAATTTCATCACACCAAGCAGTCATGCGGTTTCACCTCCCTGGAGACCAGACGACAAGGACGGTCACTACGTCTTTGAGCTTGGGGAAAATCTGACTCCCAGATGTGAGGCTCTCGCCATTTTGTTTTTTTGTTCCGATTTCCCTGTGGCATGGCTAACATCGTTTGTCCACTTGTGGTGCTGCGTAAAACAGATAAAATCCTGAGCAAACTCGGAGAAGGTACTTATTCGCGCGTTTCTATTTTAACTCGCTTTTATCATTTAGCGCGCCCGTGAACGATTGTTACCGATGCGTCTTCCTTCGACAGGGACTTTCGGAAGAGTTTTGGAATGCTGGGATCGCCAAATGCAGCAGTATGTCGCAATCAAGGTGATAAGGAATGTACAGAAATATCGCGATGCAGCAATGATCGAGATTGATGTGTTGACAACTCTGGCAAAGCATGACAAGTTTGGTCAGCGGTATGTATTTATGTGAAAACGTCGTCTTTGCGTGCATTGTTGTTGATGGTTGATGGCTTACATTTCGTATCGTCTTTGCAGGGGCTGCGTGGAGCTGAAGGGCTGGTTCGACTACAGAGATCATGTCTGCATAGTAAGTTATCGTCGCTCCATTCGCTTCGCCGGTTCGTGATCGCAGGATTGTTCAATAATCGTCTTTGGTTGTGATCACACTGCGTTTAATGATCAGGTGTTTGAGAAGCTCGGCCCAAGTCTTTACGATTTTTTGAGAAAGAACAGTTATCGGCCATTTTCTGTGGACGTGGCGAGGGAGTTTTCCAGGCAATTGCTGGAGTCAGTTGCGTGTAAGTCATATTGGCAGTCATTAAATTCTAGAAATCCCTGGGTGCGGTACCTACCTATTGAGGATTTCTTTTTTTTTCTTGTGCATGAAGCGTTTACTTGCAAGTATTGCGTTTGATTCCGCGACGCGTTTGTGTCCAGTATTTCATTGCGCTCTTCTACGCCGTCCTCCTTTTTCCTGCGCGTGTCGTTTTGCTCCATGTCTTTTTGTATCCGTTTTGGCCTACCATGTCCATTAACTCTCCTGTTTCCCTCTCTTCTACGTTCCCCCCCATTTCGAAACCCCTTCTTCCAGTTATGCATGAGCTAACGCTGATTCACACGGATTTGAAGCCTGAAAACATATTGCTGGTCTCGTCAGAGTACGAGAAGGTTCCCGATTACAGGGTAAACTTTTGGATTTTCTACAATCCATCATTGCCTAAATGCTGTCTGAATCATGCGGACTGAGTATTTGCTTCCTCTTTGCAGAGCTCAACCCAGCCAAGCTCCCAAAGTCGGCATCACATGAGAAGAGTACCTGTCTCCAGTGAGATCAGGGTCATTGACTTCGGAAGTGCAACGTTCGATTCACACTACCATTGTTCCATTGTTTCCACTCGGCATTACAGAGCTCCAGAAGTGATTCTTGGTGAGACAGTAGTCCTGGTTTGCTGGTCAAGTTGCCTATCACGCCCAAAATTTGTTTACTCACATGGTGTGAATGACCTGCAGGGACTGGGTGGTCATATCCATGCGACATCTGGAGTGCAGGTTGCATTATTGTCGAGCTTGTCACGGTAAGATTTCATCTGTATTCACTGTGGCATTCAGTGCATGCCTTGTGTTCCTTGTGGCTCTCAATACATGGCTCTCGTTCTCCTATGTTTCTGTATCAGGGGGAGGCGTTGTTTCAAACGCATGAGAATCTTGAGCACCTTGCCATGATGGAAAGACTGCTGGGTCCAATTTCCCCACACATCATCAAGAAGGCTGAGTGAGTCTATGATCTCAATTTATATCGGCCCCCCATATCTTGGACTTGCTAGTTATCCTCCTTTGACCTTCTATCGTTTTCTTGGGCAGCCGACGAGCTGAGAAGTACTTCAGAAATGGAAGAGAACTTAATTGGCCAGAGGGTGCTGCTTCACGTGAAAGCATTCGGGCGGTCCGAAAGCTTCCCCGACTAAGAGTGAGTTTTTTTCCATTGTTTAGTTAAAGAGCACATCTAGCATCTCCAACCTGATTGCCACAGCAACTTGTACCTCCCCCCTCCCCCGCTACTATTTTTTCTTGAGAGGCTATTGCAATCTGTAAGTCTATGTTACTATTGAACGTTTTGCAGGATTTGATTATGCAATGTGTGGAGCATTCAGCCGGCACACTCATTGACCTTCTCTACTCGCTCTTGAAGTTTGACCCTGCACAACGGCTCACAGCTCGAGAGGCTTTGAAGCACCCGTTTTTCCGGGAGCCAAGCCGCTGCCTGCGGTAAGGAAAAAACTGAAGCAAAGCATTCCCTGACCAGCTCAGAGGGAATGTACTCAGCCAAGAAATCATGAAAGCAGTGTCCACAACTGTAGGCATAGATTGTAGTTGTAGATGCACAACCTTGCAGTTGTGGCTTAAATGTGGCCTAGCTGCATTGCTGCCCTAGTAGGGTGGTTCAAATGGGCAGGATAAGCCATTTCCTGTTCAAATTTGTAGATATAGTACTGGGAAGGTTAGTTTTCCACCAAGGTTGTGAGGGTTTTCCACCATGAAATCTGAATGCATGGATTTTCAAAAAATAATTACTGGAAGCCCATACCATTATTCTTTTGTCAGCAACCAATCTAATGGGTTTACGGAAAGAATATGCAAACACAAGTGAACATAACAGTAACAAATACCAAGCTGGGTACTAAGATCATGTTGCAGGTGACGTGGGGCTTCATGACATGGTTTAGTGCTGCAAGGAAACAACGGCAAGAAGAATCAGACACTTCCAGCTGCCAGGAAGAAGTTTCAGACTGACATGCAGTAACAACATCACATCACATGTCATGTGTTTCCATTACTTACAGCAGCTGCTTCAGTTGCTGCTGGTGCCGCCTCCTGAGCAGGCTCGGCCTTCTTCCCCCCCGAAAAAGCCCGGTAAGCACCATAGAAGACAAGGCCCCAACCTCCTAGAGAAACAAACACGAACTGCGCATTGGCACAAAAGAAAGAACCCATGTAATCAGGAAGAAAGATGCAGCACGACAGTAACACGAAAAGCAGGGTGCATTCGTGTGGAGAGAACTAGGATGAGAGGGAAACGTACGTGCTCCTCCTTCCATCTCCCCGGGTTGAGTGGATCTTCCCAGATGTTCACCCTCTTGGGGCCATGATGATCTGAGGCAGAAAGCAGGTGGTTCACACCACAAGTATAGACAAGAGATGGCAAACGAAAACTAACTGAGCCTGGAAATCAATAAGTGCGACCAAACTAGCAGACAGAGGTTCCCGCCTGTACGTTTTACGACATATCCAAACTCAATCCGCCCGTACCCTAACAACAACACCCTTCACTCCTAGTCACAAGATGTTTGAAAAAAAACAAAACACAACAAAACGAAACAAACGACTCTCAAGGAAAAGACTACACAAGTCGCGCTTCCCCAGACGTAATCTGCCTCTGAAAGAGACTAGGCTCGTCGGGGCGGATCAGCGACAAAAGGCGGTCAGGAGTGGCACGCAAACGGCAGAAAGGACGAGTTGATGTTCCATACCACGTGAACGACTCGTGCCCATGCTGGTGCCAAGCTAATGACGCATGCGCGCATGGTGGTACCAAGAAACGACTCGTGTCCGTGCTGGTACCAAGCTGGTTTGTATGTGGTACGTTAGTGGTGTTCCGTGATCTCAATGTTCTCCTTTCTTTTACAACAAGCTGACTCAGCAAGCCCGCAAACGCGGTGAGGCAGACGATGAACCATGAACCGCGGACGCACGGACGGAGGCGGATCGAGTCCAGAAAACTTAAGCGGCGGCAATAGTACCTGCGGCAAAGCCCCTGGTCTGCAGGCGAATGCCTGCGGGAAGCGGAGGCGCGACCGACAGGCGGAGGCGCTGCGCGGCGGAACGGGCGAGAGCGTGCGCCATTGGTGGAACGAGGCGGAGCGAGGCGGGTGCGAGGGAGCGGGCGAGGGTGAGAGGTGGTTGATGGACGACGGACGGATCGGGTGGATTGGGGGGAGCAGATCGCAGATCCGCAAGAACCACCGCCTAGTTGCCGGACTGAACCGGACTAACGAATCACGACAACAGACAGGTCGTCGAAGGGAAGTGGAGCTGCTGTTGAGAGGAGCAAGGGGGGCAAGAGGGACAGTTGCGAAGGAAGCATGGAGGAGGACTGTGGCGAAGGTTGTGGGGGGGAAGGTTGTGGGGGGGAAGGTTGTGGGGGGGAAAGGGGGGAAACTGCAAACGCTGGGGAAATTCCTTCAGTAGGCGGACAGCGGGGAAGAGTATGGAACTCTGAGTTCCGCGCTAATTCGTTTGCGGCTACAGAAACTTATGAGCGATAGAAATAATTCATCTTTAACATTTTTCATTTCATATCATGCGTAAGTGTCCGTAATGGTCCATAGAATGCTCAAGCTAGCGTAGAATTCTCTGCTATGCTCAGCCTACTTCGCCTTGTCTCAAAGCTCAATCAAACAGTATCTCCATCCATATGCTCCTTCCATAATTTCTCCTCTCCATAGCCCCCAGGCATTGCCCATTAACAACCTATCTCCAGGTTAGCTCTAATCCAGCAACGGTCAATACATCAGAACACGTGCACGATACTGCACTATCATACGCCACCACCATCAATCACCCTCTGGATGGACATGATGATGCCCAATGGCCTTCCACTCCACACTTGTAGCATGCTCCCGAACCACCACTTGAAAGCCCACCTGAAGCAGCACCTGCACGCGGGATTCCACCTGGGCTTGAAAACGATCCGGGGCGTGGACCGGATCCATGGTTTGGCATACTGCTGTATCCGCAGCTATTGTTACCGTAACTGCTGGTGGTGTTGGAAGCAGCACCGTTGGGGCTGATGTAGGGGCGTTGAGAGGAGGTAGGGTTCGATGCTGTGTCATCACACCATTTGAAGAATCCGCAAGGCTGCCAAGGAGAGAAGAAAAGGAAGAGCAAGCATGGGAGGAAGGATGGAGTAGGGGGAGGGGGGGGAGAAAGGGGAAGAGAAAGAGTGAGAGAAAAAAAAGGGAGGGGAAGGGAAGTGGGGTGAGAGAGAGGGAGAGAGAGAGAGAGAGAGAGAGAGAGAGAGAGAGAGAGAGAGAGAGAGAGAGAGAGAGAGAGAGACCACAGTGATGGCCAGCAGGCACATGCATCCTACGTTCCAACATCCCATCTCATGCATCCTACCTTCCAACATCCCATCTTGCTGACCTCTGGTTTGGGACACTTAAAGAACTGCCGGCCATTGTTAGCTGCAGTGCGCGCAGTCAGAACCAGACACTGCCCACCGCCACATGCACACTCCATTGCCCCTGCTGCTCCTCCTGACCCCATTCCCCCTTGCCCCATTGAACCCCGCCCCATTCCTCCTGCTGCTGACCCCCCTGATCCTCCTCCCATGGCCGCTTGCACCCCTCCTCCCCCTGCGCCACCCCAGCATGCGCCCCCTCCTGTCCCCCCTGAACCCACTCCCCCTCCCCCGGCCCCAGTGGTCCCAGAACCACCCCAGCTGGCCCTCCGGCCTTGTGCTGTGGCAGTTGAAGCTGAGAGCGACGGTGATGGGGAAGCGGAGTAGGAAGGGAGGGAGTGCTGGTGGGAGGGTGCAGGGCCGGTGGTGGTGCTTGCAGCTGCATCACACCACTCGAAGAAACCGCATGAGGCGTCCTAGGAAGGGAAAGGGAGGAGCAATAGGAATCCATGCAACAGCAAACGGTTGCTTTTGCAGTGATAAATAGTGAGAAGGTGGTGGATATGGTGGGATGCCAGGATATGTGAATGGTGTGGTGAGTTCACCAGGACAGGACCCACTAACAGAATGCATGCCAAGCCAAGGAACAACACGGCATCGAGTATGCGCCTCCAGAGGAAGCGTGGACCATTGATGTTCACTCCAAACCATTATTCTTTCAGAGCTCTCCTCCAGGGGAAGCATGGACCACTCCCATGTGCATTACCTCTGGAAGGATTCACAGCAAGCACTCGCTGGCTTCACTGACAGTGCTGTCATTATCAGCACTCGCTGGCTTCACTGACAGTGCTGTCATTATCAGCACTCGCTGGCTTCACTGACAGTGCTGTCATTATCAGCACTCGCTGGCTTCACTGACAGTGCTGTCATTATCAGCACTCGCTGGCTTCACTGACAGTGCTGTCATTATCAGCACTCGCTGGCTTCACTGACAGTGCTGTCATTATCAGCACTCGCTGGCTTCACTGACAGTGCTGTCATTATCAGCACTCGCTGGCTTCACTGACAGTGCTGTCATTATCAGCACTCGCTGGCTTCACTGACAGTGCTGTCATTATCAGCACTCGCTGGCTTCACTGACAGTGCTGTCATTATCAGCACGAGCAAGCACGTAACGATGGACCCCAATGCCCCCAGTGACGTCGTGTATGATGTACATAGTACCTTATTGGGGCATCGGTAAAACTGCCTTCCCATGTTCCTCTCCGTTCGCGCAGTCAGCACAGCACACCTCCCAGCACCACATGCGCAGAACCGCTCTGCCACGTCACCACTGGCACTCCCACCACCGAATTCACTCCCTGCAGCAGATGCATTTGCGCTCCACCCTCCTCCTCCGCTGCTCCCCCTGTTGGAAAACGCCTCCCCTGTGCCTGGTTTCCAAGAACCTGCTGAGTTACCAGCAAAACTTCCGCTACCTGAATGCGGGGTGCCAGCATTATTAGGACAGTCTCGTGACCAATGGCCGAGCTGCCCGCACTTAAAACATTCGCCAGATCTCGTGCCACCACCAGCATTTCCTCCCCCCTGGCCCCCTCCCCAACTCGGGGCTCCATACCCGCTGCTTATTCCTTCCCCGTTGAAGTTCCCCCCACCTGCGGCAGCTCCTGCGCCTCTTCCGCTTGGTGCGCCTGCTGCGCGGCCTCCCCCGCCTCTTCCGCGGCCCCTCCCCCTCCCCGCGCCCTTGGGGTTGAAATCCGCCTCGATGGCGCGCCATCGCCCGCTGTTGCGCCCCCGCAGAGCCGCGAGATAGTCCCCCTCTTCTTCCTCATCCCCCTGATGATCGTTCCCGCCATCCTGGTGGGTTCCCGCGGCAGCTGCACTGGCGATAGTAGCGTTTCCGCGAGAATGATACTGGATCCACGCGGGAGCAAGGTGGTCGCGGGCTCGCTTCTGGCCTGTGAGGGTTGCTGTTGACGCGGTAGATCCGTACATGGCGGAAGTTCCTGGGGAAAGTAATGACTGACGGCGAATGTACGTCTAGATGTTTTCTGGGCGAGTAGATTGGGAGGTTAGAGTACGGTACTGATAGCTGTTTGATGACGGGTAATGTTCATGCCTGGCGTTGAGCCGAGCGAACTGAATCTGAGATGAAGTCTTAGTGCAGGTGACTGATGAACTGATTGATACGTCGCTCGGCTGAATCTGAATCTGAGATGGTCCTCTCAATCAGTCACGACGCGTCAAGACCTGCGACAAATGAACTAAATTACGCGATCTTGGGAAAGCCGGTTATTAACTCCAAACGACCAGGTTCATTTACCCGGCCCTAATTCGGACACCCCCGTGCTATTTTTCGGCCCCTAATTGATCTTTGCCCGCTCATGAATTGAACATGAACAGCCAAGGCGATGAAATCGAGGGTGCTCGGCGGGGTGTAGAAATTTCAAATTCAAATCGAAGCATCAATCTCACGCTTCTTCGCGAAAGCATATTGTAACAAGAGGATTATCATTACTGAGAAGGATAACCATAGCGCATGCATGTTACGAGTGCAATTGAGCGAGTGAGGATTGCACTATTGAGGCAAGAATACAATGAGCGAAGGATTGAGCGAATAATATATAGCGAAGCTACAGTGGTAACGGTAACGTGTGGAAAATGGGGTGCGCGACGGGCCTAGCGTCGAGGTTGGGAATTGTCGAGGCGGAGGTCCGGAGCGCGGGTTACCAACCGAACCGTGAGGTTGGGTCGCGTCGTGAACAGTGGTGGGAAAAGTGTCGAGGCGAATATCGCGAGTGGTAACGGTTTATTGTGAGGTACTGTTGGCGGGAAACAATGGTGTACGCGCTGAGCAGGGATGCGGAGTAAGGAAAATGAATTTTCCTTACACTACCCCCCCCCCCCCCCCCCCCCCCCCCCTTAAGGAGGCCCTTCTTACGAAAGCGCGTGTACATCCCGGAAATTTCGGCTGCGCAGATACTCGGTGAGGACGGTGTGGTTTTCAATTCTGTCCAGGGGAACCCAATTGTCTTCGATGGGCGTGCGGTCTTTCCAGCGGATCAGAAATTCGACCCTTCGAGCTCCCCGTGCAGGGCTGACTTTATCAGACTAAAATAGTCTGATTGTCTGAAATCTCAGGGTATTTTCCTACGGATCCTGATTTTTCAGACTTGTAAGATTTTCAAACATGAGTACCTCAGACTTACCTGGTTTTGGATCCTGAGATTTTCAGACTACTGACTTAACCGATAATGGGTCTTCATACTACAGGGAGTACGGATCCTGAAATGTGGATCTGTAATTTCTACGTACATTCCGCTACCGTACGTCATATGTTGCCAGTGTACGAACACACTTCATGGCGCTGTCACGCGCAGAATCTGTCCTTGGCTACTTTTGCCACCATTTTCCTTTAGAAATCTGCCAACTTGGCTCGCTCTTTCACTCACGAGGGACCATCACTGCAGCTACCCGGTGTCAGCGAGGGAAACTCTGTGCTGGCGCAGCAAAGTCGGTTAGCGCTGCGCCCCACGTGCTACATTCGTGGCAGTACTGTACTGCAGTGGTTGTAGTGTGTTCTAAGTACTTCAGACTTGTGTTTTTGCGGAACCTGAAAAATCAGAGTAGCCATTCTCTGGGAAATATGCCCAGACTAAAAAAATTCAGAGCCCCCAGAACATCAGACTGGATTTTTTTGAATAGTCAGCCCTGTCCCCGTGGGTCACGAACTCGGTGGCTCCGAATCTTTTCGGGCGTGATGATTGGTTCTGTCGGTGGTCATGTCATGCTGGCTGGGTGGTTGCGGGGCAGTTGGCTAGTGGATGGTACGTAAGGGCGAAGCAGACGGGCTGACGTACCAGTCAGCAGGGAGGAGGAGGTGGGCGGTGACAGGTGTGATCATGTGACTGATGCGAAATGGCCCGCAATATCGGGGGCGGAGTTTCGGGGTTATGGGCAGGCGGAGGTTTTGAGTGTCGAGTAAAACTAGGTCGTCGGGCTGGTAAGTGACAGGTTTGCGGTGGCCGTCGGCGTTGCGCTTAGCGATTACGTTGGCTTTTTTAATTGCCTCGACTGCCCGGGTCCGTGCTGCTTGTAAGATTTCTACGAACTGTTGTGCACGTGGTACTGGGTTGTCGAGATTCAGGGTCATGGGTGATGGAATGGGTTGGAAACCCGTAGAATTGGTTAAGGGACGAAGCCCTTTTCATGATCGTAGTATCTTGGATTAAAGACTAAGTATTGGCAGTGGAAGACTTGTGGCTTATGTCAGAGGTCCACTGGTGATCCCCGATTGATCATAGGAAAGGGTTACATGCATGTTAGCCTGGGGGGTTATGGGCGCACTGACCTGCTACTTAACAAGCCCTTTTATCCCAGTGGTCTAGTGACTGGGATTCTGACATGGTATCAGAGCGAAGGTCTCGGGTTCGAATCCCAGTGTGTGCACTTCGGGCATCCCAGTGCGGGGGGGTGTCAGAGGTCCACTGGTGATCCCCGATTGATCCTAGGGAAGGGTTACAGGCATGTTGGCCTGGGGGGTTATGGGCGCACTGACCCGCTACTTAACAAGCCCTTTTATCCCAGTGGTCTAGTGACTGGGATTCTGACAGCTTGTCCAACTTGTGTGGATTCAAGCTTGTATATAAAAGTTATATATAATAACATGGTCTAGAAGATCAACAATCTTATAGTCCTAGCAAAAGTGCCTGTTCGTATACTGTAGCCGAATGTACCTATTCGTCACTCTAGGGGTGTTGACCTGTAGACACTAAGGAAAGTGGCTGTTTGTTGACCTAAGCCTAGAGCTACTTTGACTAGTCAGCTGAATCCGAATGCTGACGTCATCGAGTTCGAGACCCACTATTGTACTGTTTCGATACTGTATATTCTAACTGAGAATTTCAGAAATGCTAAGAGACCTACATCTCTCAACAATGGGTACTGTAGGGTCTTGTCCGTAGTTCAGGTAAAACGGTGACTGTTGGGTCGTGGCGGATGGCAAATTGTTGTACGCGAATTCGATGAGTGGCAGCTACTGTTCCCAGGTGGTCGGATCGTCGCACGTGGCTCGGATGAGTTGCTCCATGGTCTGATTTGTCCGTTCTGTCTGTCCGTCGGTTTCGGGGTGGTACGCAGAACTAAATTGTAGTCGCGTGCCGAACTGCTGCCACAGGTTCCACCAGAAGTTGCTGGTAAATTTCGTGTCGCGGTCGCTGATGATCGCTGCTGGTATCTCGTGTAGTCGAACGATGGTGGAGATGAAGAGGCGGGCTGTTTCTTCGGCTGTGATTGATTTCTAGCAGGCTGCGAAGTGTGCCATTTTCGTCAGCCGGTCGAAGACGACCATGATCGCGTCGTTCCCACTTGCTTCGGCTGGTAACCCCGTGACGAAGTCCATCGTCACCTGCTGCCAAGCACGCTCTGGGGGTGGTATCGCCTGCAACTGTCCTGTCGGCCGCTTCCGTGATGATTTCATGAGTTGGCAGGTGGGACACGATGCCACGTGTCGCTGCACGTCGGTCAGCATTTCGGGCCACTAATAATACCGCTGAAGCTGCTGCCGTGTTTTTTCTACTCCGAAATGGCCTGAGGTAACTCTGTCGTGTGCCTCTTGTAGCAGTAATTCCCGTAGTAAAGTGTAGCCCGTTACCCAGATTCGGTCGGTGCCGGATTTTACGTACTAAACTCCCTTTGCTGCTTCGAACTGCTGCGAATTTCCTCCTGTGAAGAATGGGTCAGTCTGATAGCCGTGGGTAAATAGTCCTGTCAGTAGTGGGCTGGTCTGGGCGAGTAGTATGGCGTGGATTTGGGCCGTGGGGCTGGTGAATGCGTCGGCGATGTTCGATGCCCCCTTTTTGTAGGTGACCGTGTAGTGAAAATTGGACTCGAGGAAGTCGAGCCAGCGAATCTGTCGTGGGTTGAGGTGGGCTGTGCGCGGAGGTACTGTAGTGATTTATGGTCTGTCCGGACTCTTACATCTGCGCCGGTCAAGTAACAGCGCCAACCTTTGAACGCATGCACGATCGCGAGCATTTCGCGATCGTGTATCGGGTAATTTTTCTCGGGCGGATGCAGTTTTCGTGACTCGTATGCGATGGGCTATAAATCGTTGCCGAAATCCTGTAGCAGTACGGCTCCAATGGCGATGTCGCTTGCATCGGTAACCACTTTGAATGGGCGGTGTGGGTCGGCGATGCGCAGTACGGGCGGTGAACAGAGAACATTTTTCAGGGCAGAGAAGGCAGCATGCTCTTTCTCCCCCCACGTAAAAGGGACCCCCTTCCGCAGTAAATCCGTCAGCGGGGCAGTTAAGCGTGCCATGTCAAGGACGAACCGACGCACATAATTAATGAACCCAAAAAAATCTGAAGCTCCGTGATGTTCGTCGGGGGGTGCCACGCTTTCACCGTGTCCAGCTTCTTTGGGTCGATTTCAACTCCAGCCTCGTTCATGGTCATCTGAAAAGTCGCCGGTGCGTTGGTCAGCCCGAAAGGCATCACTGTGTACTCGAATGACGCGTACCTAGTCCTAAATGCTGTCTTGGCACTGTCCGATGGTTCGACCCGAATCTGATGGTAACCTCCCCGTAAATCAATTTTCGAAAAGACTCGTGCTGTTCGCAGTTGATCTATCAGTTCGTCGGCGCGGGGGATGGGGTATCGCGATTTGACTGTAACCCTGTTCAGTGCCCTGTCATCGATGCACATGCGAAAACCTCCGTCCTTTTTCGGTGTGAACAGGATTGGTGCGGCGAACGGCGACGAGCTTGGTCTGATGAATTTTTTTCCTAGCAGGTAATCTAACTGCTTCCTCAGTTTGTCGAGCTCGGGCTGTGTCAGTCTGAATTGTCGCTGTACGGTTGGCTGTGCCCCAGGTTCTAATTCTATTCGGTGATCGTGTGCCCGCTGAGGTGGCAGTCCCTCCGGTAAGTCGTCGGGAAAAATCCCCGGGTACCGTTTCAACAGTTCCTGTAGTTCGGGTGGTACTGCCGC